ACGTGGATGAGCCAGATGCCATTGCCTGTTTGCCCACACCCAGCGACATCTTGGTCTCCTACTCAACTTTTCCAGGTGACAGTGCTTTGCTGGGCACAGAGGAATTAGCAGAAAAGTCAGAGCTTCATAGCCAAAGTCAGCAGCAGTTCAGGGCGACAGCTCCGTTGGGGCGGCAGGAACTGAGCAGGATGAGGACAGCAGATGGGCTTTGGCATAACATTCTCCTTCTTTCTCTGAAGGTTTTGTCTCCTGGAGGGAGGCGACTGGCTCGTGGTACGTGGAGACACTGGACAGTGTGCTGGAGAGATATGCCCGTTCAGAAGACCTGCTGAACATGTTACTGCGGGTAAATGTCTTTTTTTTTGCCTTCTTTTTGTGGTCGTGATGAAGGAAATAGTCAGGAATGTGATTAGTGGGGGTGTGGAGGCCTACAATTAAAAAAAGAATGAGGATATTGAGTGTTGACTTTAGGGATGGGCTAATTGGAGGTACTGCAGAGAGATTTAATTACGAAGAAAGTGTCTGGCCTCAGTCTGCCAAAAGTCACTGCGAGGTTTCTCCAGCGAGGGGTAATCCTGGCAATACAGGCTTTAATCTTTCCAAGGAAATTGCTTAAAATGGTGTAGCTTGTCCCATCCTCTAAATCCAAGCTGATGGGACTTGGGTCAGGAGCGTGTTGTGGGGTTGGAGGATGGGGTTTGGATGTCACTGTGCTGCTTTGGCTTGGCAGTGAGCAATTGCAGGGGAGAAGCACGAGCCCCTCTCTGCTGGCTGGTGTTCAGTGTAAGGAAACCACCTTGGGGAAGTGACAGGCACATCTGGGAGAAAATGGGTGGAAAGGAACTTGCTTTTAATTGAATTCCCAAAGGGAAGGAGGGAGTTCTGCCTCATGCCAAGAAGCACTTGCCAGAGGCAGGGGTTGGTGGTTGGGCTGAGGTTTCTTGAAAGCGTGTTCCCCTGAGTTCACTTTGCCTTTGCCAGCAGAAATGTCTCATATTAAGAGCCCTGCCATCTCTCATGTCCATAGTCCCGTTCCTGACCCCTGTTCCCAAGCTTCCTGCAACAGTCAGGAGAGCACCTGCTCCCCAACCACTCTCCATCTGTTCTCAGGTGGCAAATGCTGTCTCAGCCAAGGGGAGCTACAAGCAGATCCCAGGATGTTTCAACTTCCTCCGTAAAAAATTCTACTTCATGTGTGACTGACACCTGGGCTCCGAGGTCCCTGCCAAGTGTGAGAGTTCCTTCCCTGTGGCCGGGTGGAATCTGTGCCTGCCACGACTCGGCATCGATGCTCCCGTGGATTTTGTCTGTCTCTCGAGATATTTGTCTGGAGAAACGTGATCTGCAAACACTGTCCTTGCTGTGAAGTTGAGATGAGGTGGAGATCGTGCTGTGCCCATGGGAAATGCTGGGGACTGGAGCAGGAAGCCCCTTTTCTGGGGTACATGCCGGCCTGGAGCCTCTGGAGCCAGAGGAGAGCACCTCTGGCTCTTCACGTGGCCACACTCAGCCTCAGAGTGTTTTTCCTTGCTGATCCTGATATTTGTGTCCTGTGCTGCCTGGGTAACTGATTGATGGGATCAAGTTTGGCCCTCAGGTGTACTGGAATGAGTTTTGCCATCAGTGTTTCTAATAAATGCAAAGAAAAAGCAAATCTTTTGCTGTATTCCCTCCTTTGTTCCATCTCCTGGTTGCCATTTTAGCACCTTCCGAAGGCTCCTCTGAAATGGGAAGAGCAGGAGGACCTTAGCTCATGTAAATTTTGAACCCCTGCTGTTACTGGGAGAGTTTCTAGTGTGGCTGTGCTGGCCTGTGGAGCAGGTGTCCTCCTTCCAAGGATCAGTTGGGTGTTAAACAGGAGTTACAGCAGGAAACTGATGAGGATTCTTTGGAATATCAGAGCTGAGGTAAATACTTGCCCTCAGGAGCTGCTGCAGTCACCGTTTCAGGTCAGAAACCCTGGATGTGTGTGGGATTTTGGGGGAGAAAGAATCCTCAGAGCAACCCTCGGGAGGTGCAGTGGTCTTAGGGGAGGTCTGTGCTGCTGAGGGGCAGTCAGTAGGTTATTTCCATGCTTCTTTGGGAAGCATTTCTGATATTTTTAGGCAGTTTTGTGCTGCAGGCAGAGCAATTCCCAGCCTGGGGTTTGGGTTTGGGTGAAGGGATGGCTGGGAGTTAGGAGCAGAGGGCAGGGAGCAGGAACTGCCTGCCCCAAGTGAGGGGAATTGGGGGCAGGCTCAGGTTGAGCCAGTTAGGGTGATGCTGGGGGTTGAAAGGCCATGGCCAGAGTGAGACAGAGAGGATCTGCTTTCTGTTCTGGTCTCTTTTCTGGTCTCAAATCCTTGTGGTGAAGCCAGAAAACTTGGCTGGGAACTGCCAATGCCCATTGCTTGCACTGCTGGGGTGAATGAAGCTGTTTTTAGGTACCACTGGATTGCAGCATCCTGCTGGAGATCTACCTCACTATGACCCCCAAGACCATCCAGCCAGACTCCAGCCCCTCTCCCATCAAACCTCAAGCCCTTGGGCTTGACAGTGGCCATGGCTCTGCCCCCACCTGAGCACTCTGTGGGATGTCTGCCCATGTCAGCCTCCCCAGGACCTCTGCACGATGGGGGGGACTCTCCCCAGCACAGGGGCAGAACCCCAGGACCACAAGACACAGCCCCGGGTTTCAGTTCCACCACAATCCCTCCAAAGAACCACACGAGACCAGGTCAGCACTTTTGCCTTTATCACACTCAACACTTGAATCTCCACGTGCCGAGTCCTCAGTTGGAGCTTATTTTCTGCCAAAGACAAGACACAGGGGGGCCCACGGTGAGACCCTCGGCGGGGCGGGGGCAGCGTGGCCAACCCCTGTGCGGGGGCAGAGGAAGGGGCACCCACCTCGTTGATCCAGTCGATGTAGGAGGACACCCGGGTGAACACCGTCGGCTTCCTGATCAGGTTGCAGCTCAGCCCGGAGCCGAAGCTGACGATCCCCTCCACCTCCCAGATCCCGTCCTCGCGCTGGCAGTTCAGGGGGCCGCCGGAATCGCCCTGCACGGGGAGGTACGTGCTCCACACCCAGCGCTCCTGGGCTCCCTGCCGATGCACCCCTGGCCATCCACCCCCACGGCTCCATCCCCTCCCGTCCCAGTGCTGTGGTCCTGCACGGCTCAACCCCCCACCGCCGCCCCGCAGTGCCGGCACTCACGTTGCAGCCAGAGACGATGCCGTCGCCGCCGGCACACACCATGGTGGTGCGCACGCTGCTGCCCCACCAGTTCCTCTGGGAGCAGGTCTCATAGTCCACCACGGGCAGCAGAGCCTGCTGCAGGACATCGGCCAGGGGCCCGTAGGCTGTAACGACATGCAAACCTCGTACCTCACAACCCCTGTGCCTGCACCCCCTCCCCAGGGACCCTCTGGGGACCCCCCTGCTTACTCCTGATGCGTCCCCAGCCGGTGATGTAGCAGGGGTAGTCGTTGGGCAGGATCTTGTCGGCCTCGGGCAGGCAGGCGGCCCGGATGGTATCGCTCTCCTGCACCTCCTCTTCCAGCTTGATCAGGGCGATGTCGTTGCTGTGGGGACAGATGAGGCATGAGGATCGGTCCCGGGCTGTGGGGATGGAGGTCCCTGGCAGCAACACCCTCCACCCGTCTCTGACATATCCCATCCCCTACATGATGAGGAAGGAGTTCCACTTCTCATGGACGATCGTCTTCTCCACACCCACGGCCACCGAGCCAGGCTCGTCATCCTCCGACAGGACCTGCTTGCCCAGCACCACACGGTACGTCAAGGAAGAGCTGCCCAGGGAAAAAAGCAGGGTGTCAGTCCCCACAAATGCCTTACCTCCATGGCACAGACCTCACCCAGCACCCTGACACCCACCTGATGCAGTGGGCGGCCGTCAGCACCCACTGAGGGGCAATCAGGGTCCCGCCACAAGTGTGGTGCCAAGATCCAGAGCTCTCGTACTGCAGTGAGATCTGTGATGGCAGAGGCACAGGGTCAGAGCAGGAATGTCCCCACCCCTGTCCCAGCCCTCATCCCTGTGCCCCCCTTACCTGCCATGGCCAGCTGTGGGCTACGGCGTCTTCACCGCCCACCACGCGGGTGCCCAGCTGTGGTGGCACGGCCGGCTGGCCGCATCCGTAGGCTGTGTGACACCCAGAACAGGGATATCAGAGGCTGCCTGAGCCCATGCCCAAGGCCATGGCAGGCACCAGGGTCCCGTTCCCCCCTGCCCCGTCCCCTCCCCATCCCCTGCACCCACCGTAGCCCAGCAGCACGACGAGACAGATGGCTCCCAGCATGGTTGTGCTTGACCAAAGGTGCTGCACTGGGGCTGCTCACCCTTCTTATAGGGCCTGGGGACCTTGGAGTGGCCCCTCCTGCCACTGCCATGTGGGGACTCTCCCACGCTGGGGGCACAGAGCTCCTCAGCCCCATTGCCCCATCTTATCACACTCCCTGGGAACGGCCACATCTGCCCATCATGTGCTGGCACCATGATGGGACGTGGCAGAGACACCTGGCCCTGCTCTGGGATGGGCAGGGTCCCTCCTGGGGGGCAGTTGGTGGGTGCCCCATCCACACTGCTCTCTGTGGGGTGCTGGTCAGCCCTGCTGTACCCCAAACTCGAGCACCAACTGCCCCGGGGCACAGCCCCCCACACCACCACCCCTCAGGGACAAGGTCCTGTTATCTCATGCTCGACGTGGCCAAGACCAGCCAAACCCCACAGGTGCCACAGGGTTGCTCAGGGAGCAGGTGCCAGCAGTGCTGCTGATGGCCTTCGAGGGCACCATGTCCCCACACCTGGATCGGGTCCCTGCTGCTTCCCATGCCAACGTCCCCACATTGCCAGGCGTCACCCCTGTTCCCTGCCACCTCCTGCAGTGGCCACCTGGTGCCCACAGTCACACCCCACTCCCCAGGCTCCTTCCCCCCACCCAAGCCCCCACCACTGACATGCCCGTCCCACGGCTGCAACCACAGCACCCAGCACTTAAGAAATATAATATTTATTTGGGATTAAATTAAAAAAAACATAACACACCCCCTATATCGCCACTCGGGGACAGTGTGGGACAAATGTGGGTCTTTACAGCCACCCACCAACAGAGGAGCCTCAATGATGATGATGGCAACCACTTGTGGCCACCATGCTCACCCTCCCGGGCTGAATACAACATGAAAAAACACAATACAGCCCCACGAGCCAGCAGCTGCCTTTCTGCATGTCTTCGACCAAAACAAAGAGAGACACAGCTCCTGGGGGCTCCATGCCAGCAGGGTGGGCACCCACCCCCCAGCACCACACACACACACACACACACACACACACACACAGAGCCCGTCTGCCAGCACCCGGCACTTGCCACGGCCTTTGTCATCCGTGACACGTGGCAATACCAACAGACACTGAGCCAGTGTGGCCACCACAACACCCACCATGGCCACCTGGGCAAGCCCCCATCCTGCAAACTTCCCAGTGCACACAACAACAGACAACAGTCCAGGCACAGGTGTCCCAGGGACGGGCATTCCGGACACGGCTCCCCTGAGACTCAGCAGCAGCAACCCCCGGCGCAGCTGCGGGCATGGAACAGGGGCTGCTCAGGGTGGGGGGCATGCTGGGGATGGGGGGGCACAAACAACACCTACAGACACCACAGCAAGAGGGGAGGGGGGAGCTGGGGCCGACCGGGCTCTGCCAGCAAGGCGGGCGCTGTGCCGAGCCCGCGCCGGGATCTCGCTGGCAGCTGGAGCAGCACGTGGCTCTGGCACCGCTCCCAGCATGGTTATCGTGTGCCACATGCAGCGTTCCCAGCCTGGGCACCGCTGACCAGTCCTGCCCAGCCCCGTCACTGCGTGAAGGTGGACTGCAGCTCCTTGAAGGCCGCCTTCCTCTGCTTCAGCTCCTCCGCCTGCTTCTTCTTCTCCTCCTGCTCCGCCCTGATCTCCTCCTCAAAGCGGCTGGCTTCGTTGATGGCTTGTGCCTGCGGATGGACATGTCCAGCTGGGACCCCTGCCAAGCCCTCCTGCCCACCCCCACATCTCCACCTCCCACCTGCCCATCACCCGGCACCAAACTGCCCTGGTGCATCACCGTCCTGCAGTGGGACCCCTCTGCCCAGCACCTGCCTCACCTTGGCCTCGAAGAAGTTCTTGGCGCCTTTCACCCCCTCCGTGGAGACGTCGATCTCGGAGAGACGGGCCAGGGCGTGCAACCCGCTGTCCTCCTGCAGCTCTCCTGCTGCTGCCTTCCGGAAAATCAGCAGGAACTGCGAGGGGAGACAGTGGTCTCAGCTTCCTACAGACCCCAAAGCCTCCATGGTCCCTCCCCACCTTCTCTCCACCACGAACAGCGGCTGGGGACACCTCCCTGCCAGCGTGGAGCCCCTCAGCCCCTCTCACCCCTCACCTCTCGAAAGCTGAGCTTGCTGTCCAGGTCTTCATCCACCTCCTTGATCATGTTCTTCAGGCCCAGGTGTGTCTGTGGAGCCCCCAGCTTCTCCATCATCAGCTTCAGCTCCATCAGGTCAATGAAGCCGTCTTTCCCTGCATCGTATCTGTGGGATGGAGGCAGAGCCCATGCAGCCCCCTGCAGTGACCCCCCCAGCACCAGACCCCCTGCGTGCACTCACACTGGCCAGGGAATGAGGAGGGATCAGCAAGGACTTGGGCACTGATGATCCCCGGCAGCTTTCCAGACCACAGGGAAGCTGCCTCCGCACCGCTAACAACCCCCTGGAGCATCATCCAGGATCGTGTCTGTGCGGCACTTGGCAGGAGAACCTGCCAGGATGCTGCCAAACCTGCTGCTGGCTCCCTGTGCCAGGAGCCTGAGCACATGCTCCCCTTGGCTGCGACACAGGATAACAGGCCATGGGGCTAATGCCACTGGGCACTGCTTCCCATGTCACCACCTCCTCTTCCTCCTCACTGTGACACCTCCAGGTGACCCATCCCCACTGCCCAGAGCCTCTGACATCCCAGGCTCCAACATGGCCAGGTGCCTGGGCTTGGCCAAGAGCTCCAGATGCAGCTCTGCTCACCAATCCTGCCTTTGGACCCTCTCAGGAGCAACCTGCTCTAGTGGAAGGTGTCCCTGCCCATGGCAGGGGGACCTCCTTGGGGGGTCCCTCCTTAGACCCCTGCCTGTGGCAACACCACTGTCCCCTCCAGCCTCCCACCAACAGCCCCTCTGTCCCCTCCCTCTGTCTGTGCACGTGGTGCCATGGGCTGTGGGATCCCAGTGGGGAGCCAGCACAGAGCCATGCCTGGTACAGCTCCACATGCTGTAGGTGGGCAGCTACACGCTGCACTCGTTGTGACAGGGCTTTTTTTTTGTGTGCCTTGTCACTGCAGCAGCCACGCAGAGCCCCGGCTCCCCACGCCGCAGGTCCGTGACTCATCTGTACCTTCCCTGCTGCCATCTGCTCTGTCCGTGTCTCCAGCAGTGCCTTCCTGATCTCCCAAGCTGACAGGGACCCCAAAATACAGCTGGTCCTGCTCTGGCCATGCTCACCTCTGCCTGCTGCTGCCATCACCCTGGGAGTGGGGCTGTGGGTTCAGACCTCACATGGTTTCTGCCTCCAAGATCCCTCTTGGAGCATAGAATCATAGAGTCATGGAATGGGGTTGCAAAGGACCTTAAAGACCATCCAGTTCCACCCTCTGCCATGGTTGCTCCTTCTACTATTCAAAGTTGCTTCAGCCTGGCCTTGGACACTTCCAGGGATGGGGCAGCCACAGCATCTCTGGGCAACCTGTGCCAGGGCCTCACCACCCTTAAGGGAAAAATGTGTTCCTAATATGCAATCTAATCCTGCCCTCTGTCAGTTTGAAGCCA